TGCTATGACCAATTAATATCTTGTAGAAAAACTTTACAATTATCATTTTCATATACTGTAGTATTATATGTTAAGATATATGGAAAATTTTATTTAAATGCATATTGCTAAATATGATAGAAAATGAAAAAAATTAATTACAGGGACTAAAGCAAGTGGAGGTATATTCATAAGATAATACTAAATTATCCAAATGTTATTATAAACAAACCTGAGTATATAAATAGAGCCTTTATATTATTAATTGAAAAAAGATGGCATCTGCATTTTCCATAGTATTTATGAGAATCAAACAAAAATAATATTAACTGAAAATAATTTATAAAGCAGTTTTTTTAAATTGTAATTCCATCTGTGAGTATTAATTTTTTGTGTGCTGACATATGTCTTATTCTAATTCCACATATGTCTAATTCTTATCCTAGTATTGCTGTACTATTCATAATTTGAAAAATTAACTAAATGTGTGCATTTACTCTAATAACCCCTTAGGTGAAAAAAATAAAAGCAGTATGCAGGATAGTTTATATAACATGATCTAAGATTTATAAAAAGTGTATGTAAACCTGCATAAAGAAATCCAGAAATAACATGTATCATGTTATTACCAACTGTTTTCTCTTGGTATTAGAATTGGAAGGCCAGAAAAGAAATAACACTATTTTTCTTATTATGCATAATACTTTTTTTGGTGAGAAATTTATGGATGGTTTTTACATTTTTGTTTTCATATCTTTCTAATTAAATAAAAAATCTAAAAGGAAAGCTATCTAAAGTAGAAAATTATTTGTGTCTTTATTAACTTATGTTATCATACATGTATTTTGTTGCTCTGTCCTATGTTTCCAAGGCTATCAAAAATTCAAGAAGATGCTATAAGTGTTCTAGACTATTTAGATAGTCCAAATAGGGGAAACTGAAAACATTTATTGACACAAGGCACTAAATAATGTAATAACCACATAACATTTTCATTTCTGACAAGCTTCTGAAGATCTAGGAACCACTAAAATCACAGTTAAAATAATAATGATTCAGTATTTGATTGTGTTCAACCAGGGTAGATTCACTCTCCCTCTCAGAGACTAAAAAGCTCTTGATTTTTTGGAGAGGCATGGTTTATGCGTGTTTAAAATTATTGTGACTATGTGACTATTATTTTCATCTATTGATAAAGAATATGTTCATGATGGATTTTTTGGTCTTTAAAAACTAATTTTAGTGACCAAGGGTGAGTTTAAAAATTAAAAATTAAACTCTTTAAGAGGACAGGTGTTGACAGGATTGGAGGGAATAACCAGCTGTAATATAAAAGAGTATGGAAACCCAGGAAAATAAACATCACAGGAGCATTCAACTGTCTTTTCTCCTAAGTATCTGCTAATCTAAGTAAACTGGGCTTTGAGGTTTGTTGCTGTGCTGGGCAGAGGGAGGAAAGTCAAAGTCAGTGCCTGACATCTGGGGCCGAGAACTCTGTGGGAAACCAAGCCCCCATTAACTAGGAACCACAAAATACCACACCCTCAGGAAGAGAGGAAGTAATCATGACTCCCATGGTCAGAAATGGGGGTGAAGGTGGAGGAAAAGTCTCCGTTTACCATCTAGAGAAGAAGAAAAAGGAAAAGAAGTAAACAAAGCAATCCTGGGATGGGGCTGTGGGCTGTAAATCACTATAACTTCTTTGTCTTTTACTCCGAATGAATTAGTGGCCCTTATCGGGCTTGAGGCAGAAAAGTAATAGGATCTGAATTTTAAGTTCTAGAAGTATCCTCTGGGCTGCTGTATGGGAGACAGTCTATAGGAGGAAGGATGGATGCAAGGAGGCCAGTTAGTTCGCTGGTGCAGTAACTTATCAAGAGGGTGTTCAGACCACAGTGACAAGTAGAAGTGATGAAAAGAGGTCATGCCTAGACATTTTTCACAGGTACAACAGTTTGGGTTTTCTGACTATGAATAAGGGATGTGAGCAAAAGTAGTCTTTTGCTAATCAGAAAATCCAAAAGTCAACTACTTTCACCAAAGTAGTTGAAAACACACCCATCAATCGAGCAGTTTCACTCAAAAGTATATTTGTTAGAGCTATTTCTACTTATGTCAGCAAGAAGATCTGTACAAGAATATACTATTATACAGTATTTATTATTGTTCATTTTGTTCCTATTATCCAGTGAATAAACAAAATGCAGTATTTTAAAATCATGTAATACTATTCAACAATTAAAGTGAAATTGATCTATGTCCATTAACATAACTAATCTCAAAAATAAAGTTGAGTGAAAAAAATTAATAGGTACAGTATAACACACTTTATGTAAAAAAATAAAATCCATAATTTAATATTATACATTGAGTAGAAATATATAAATTTTTGGAAACATACAAAAATTTGAATTAGGACATGAACAGCTTCATGGAAGTGATAATCATTTGACAAAGAAGAAAATCAAGATGAGTACCTTGGCATTTGTTATAATCTGCACTTCTCTATATTTTCTTAAATTCATTACATTTATCAAAGTCTTGGAGGAAAAAGCTGTTTAAAAGAGAATTCTAACCAATAAAATTGCAAGTCACTTGATGGCATGGATATAATTTTATATAGTTTCTGAGCTTGTAGCTACTCAAATTATGTTCAACAATTTTGGCAAAATTCATTGGGAACCTACTGTGTTCTGAGAGTGCTCAAAGAACAGGATTCTGACCCCAAGAAACACAATTAGGTTACGTTTCTTGTTTTTCTTAAAATCGATACATTCCTAAAATGAGATAAGTGAAAGTGTAGGCAAAGTATGGGAGATGTGTGTATTTATTCTGATTGGGAGCAATTTTTGATGGGGGACAAAGTGTATGTAATAATTTAGAAATGTATTAAGTTGTTAGAATAAAAACAGGGGTTGCCAATTCCACAGAATCATAAAACGAAAGCCATATTTCAAGTGAGTAAATTACGTAAGTAAAGGAGCAAAACCCTTTAAAACTGAATCTCAAACCTAAAAAAAGTGTATTTGGTATTTTTTTCCAAAAACTAGTTGAGTTGCAGCACCTGAATTTTATATGTCATTCTTAAGCTTTAAAATTGTGGATGTTAAGCCTATCTTAATTAAACATGACATGAAATGTTAAATAACATATGTATGAATATTTTAGGTGTGAAAACATTTTGAAAGCTCTGCTATGCCACATAAATCTAAGGTACCCAGTTTTATAAACATAGATATATGAATTTAAGAATAATAATAAAAGCTATCTAATGCTCACTTACTTAGGGTCATGCATAATAGAAATTAAAATATTAAACTACCTCTGTGTATTACATTATTAAATTATTTCTTCAGCCCTAAGAGGTTGTAAGTACTAACATGAATGCTGCATTACAGATAATTAGCATGACGTTTAGACAGAATAAATGAATAGCTCAGTTAGCAAGTGGTTCTCTGAAGTTCTATAACCCAGCTACTAGAACCTCTGCAGTTACTGGGTAGGGTAACTGTGGTCCTTTCTGTGGTCCTTTCTGTGGATGGCAGTATAACCTTGGGGTTAAAATTTTAAATTTGTAATCAGGGGGATCTAGGTTCAAACCCTAGCTCATTTAATTAGCATCTGAATTACCTCAAAGGTGTTAAATTCTCAAGTCTTATGTTTCTTATTTATGAAATTATTGATTATAGTAACTACAATAGACATGTTGTATGTTGTAAGAATAGTGTGAGAATTAAGGTAATGCCTAGGTTTAAAATAGTCCCTAGTGTCTAGTAAACGTGTTCAATTTGTTATTATATATTTTTAAATATTAAGTAGATAGGAAGTTAATGGTCAGTCTCAGGTTAACAAATTAATTGAATAACAGTTAACACACAAGAACAAATTAGGAAACTTCCCATAATCTCATATTATTCTGTCATAAATAGTTTTGTCATCATTTGGGATGAAGTACATTCTTAAAACATTCAACATGTTAAGAGTTGTAGTCAAAATCTAAGTACTAGTAATATTCTAGTATTAAGCATAGATTAAATTTTGATTGTTATAACTGTCTTTTGTGAGTATTGAGAAATGATCATATTAGCATTTTTGTTTATGTGTACAATATCATTCATGGTATTCTATTTGAAGCCCAACATATTAGAGTGTGAAAACTGATGATTTAATTTTTATGTAATTAGTTAACTTTTTTTCTTCCTTGTATTATCTTACTTACCTTATCTAATCTTAAAACCTCACATTTTTTTGAGATACTTCATGAAAATTCACAGAATTTGTTTTCCAATGGTCCATATTTAATACACAATGAAGAAAATAGCATATTTGTAAGCCACATTATTCTCATATTTTATTGGATCAAAAATAAATCTTATTTTACTGATGCTTATCACCATGTGCAAAAATAATTTTGCAAAGTATTGTATTTCTATTGGTGTCCTTTCTCATATTCATGTGATAAAATATTGATTTCCAGATATCCTTTCACAAATCCCTAAAACAATATCCAGCTTACCCTTGAAATGCACATGATCTCTATTTCTCTCTTTTTCTTTAATGCCTTCACCTATCCATTAAGTACACACATAATAGGCCTCAATTGTATTTTCTATATCAATTTCTCTTTCACTGTATCTTAAAGGAATTCTCTATGAAACTAGACTACATATTAATTTCTATCTTCTTTAAAAGGTCACAAATTTGAAAAAACTACAATCTACTCACTTTTACTCAAATACATAATCAGCGTAGTCTAAAATCACCATTGTCTCTTGTAAAGCACTCCTGTTCAAATTAAAAGCTAAACTTTTCATAAGTTCAAGCAACAGTGTGCACTTCTATGTATTTAATTCACTTTTCACTAAAAACCTCTCATATAAGCAAACAGGCCACGTCATGACCTGATTCTGAAAGTAAAATCTTAATTCCCCTTGGAAGAAATTATCTCATGAAGACGAAACATGAAAGAATGAAAGTAACCAAGCTAAAAGAGTATTGAATGTATATTAACTGATAGTTACCTAATCTTTCATTAATTCCTTAGTGTTCAAGCCCTCACCACTATCCTCTTTTAAAGTAAAATGCCTGAAAAACAAACGATAAAAACACATTGTATTTATAATAGAAGAATTCTATCAAAATGTTCATGATATTAAAAAGTACCATTAGGGAGAAAATGTAACACAATAGATGGAAATATGGACTCTGACATTTAACAGACATACATAAGCATACATCTACTAATTTAATAGGTCTCTTGTATCCCAATCTAATCTAATTCAAGATCCAAATCTAGTGTTTTCTTATCCATGAAGCTCTCATACAGAACATTACAGACCACCTTCTTCCCCAAAGTATTTCTTAATTCATTTTTATTTCATACATAATATTCATCTCTATAGTATATATAATTATATAAGTATAATTTAACTTTAGCATTCCCATCTAGACTATGAGCAACTTGATGAAAATAGGGTGATATTCCCCACAGTGGTGCCTGGCATAGTGTCTTGCACAAAGTTTGTAGTCGATAAATACTTCCTTTCCACATTGCTAAAAACAGCTATTTAGGCTCAAGATAGAAGATTAAAATTTTGATCTCATAAGAGGAGCAGAAAAAAATGTTAAGTTTTGAATCGAAAAAAATCTCAACATTTGTTTTCATGATTGCTAAAAACAGTATTTAGATCACATTAAAAAATAAGCAAGTTTACCAAAAAAGCAAATAAATAGAACAGAGGAAGGAGAAGAAGATGAATTTTACTTAAGAGCTACATTAATCAACATAGGAGTGGTTATTTGATATAGATCCAATAATCCTGTGTATTTAGTTTTAAGACCCAATCTATTTCAACCCAAGACTTAAGATTTATAAGTTATCTTTCTTTTGTTTCCAGTTAGAAAGAAAAAAAGAAGTGCTATCTTCAGGCAGAGAATCATACAATTTTAAAAATGGCCTAGCATTTTCAAATTATTTATACCTTACCTACTTATATTGCTTGTGCCAGATGTACAGATTTTACATCTGAATAACAAAGAAAACCATGTGTCCTTGTCTGTAAAGCTGAAATTTTACTTCAGCAGTAGGAAATTGAGAACATTAGTGACTACTCCAAATGTATCTTGCACATTTCAAATAAATTCACAAGCTAGAACTTTCCATTCTCCCTCCTGCCCAAGGATTTGTACATCCTACTTCTTCAGCCTGGATGCTTCTTCCTTACTCAGTCCACAATACTTACCTACCTTTTGCCTCAGCAAGTTTTATTTGTTTTTCAGCTCCCTTTAAATCCTACTTTATCAGGGGGAGAAAAAAAAAAAAAAAAAAAAAAAAACCTTCCTCAATTGGCTCTACTCCTAGGCCAACTTCATTTATTATGTACTCTCCTAGTGATTACTTCTGATTTGGAATTCTTATCTGTTGTTAAATATGGGGTCATTGTGTGATAATTTGATTTATTCCTTGCATCCTGTATTAGACTGAAAACTAGGGAGGTGATGATGAGTCACAGATATTTTTATTCACAGTGTCAGATACACAGTAAGGCAGGTACCCTTATTGAATAATAAACAAATTATTTACTTGAAAATATCAATTCATTTTTAAAGTACTGTGCAACCTCTTCACTTCAATGTGGCATGAATATCAATTATTTTGGGGATCAAATTATATTAATAGAATTTTTAAAAATTATCTACAGCAATGATTTATTAAATGCATTTGGTCTTTTTTTTCACTTACCTCAGATTATGTTATACTCTTCACAAACTACCTATTATCAGATGAATGCATTTATTTTTTTTGAGATGGAGTCTCACTCTGTCACACAGGCTGGAGTGCAGTGGCACGATCTCAGCTCACTGTATCCTCTGCCTCCTGGGTTCAAGCAATTCACCTGCTTCAGCCTCCCAAATAGCTGGGATTACAGGCACACACCACCACACCAAGCTAATTTTTCTATTTTTAGTAGAGATGGGGTTTCGCCATGTTGGCCAGGATGGTCTTGAACTGCTGGCCTCAAGTGATCCAACCATCTCAGCCTCCAGAAGTGCTGAGACTATAGGCATGAGCCACTGTACCGGGCCCAAATTAATGTATTCTTATTTCTTCTACTCTTCTCAAAACCATCTATATTTTTGCCCAAAGCTACCGATAGACCTTTCTCTCCCACTATTTTTAACATTGATTTTATCGAGGCCAGTCTCTTTAGGAGTTAAGAGCTTGTGGACACTATCCCTGCTTCAAGTGGTCACTGAAAATACTCCATCCCCTCAACATCCCCTCTTCCTCATTCAGCCAGGTTCTGCTTATTGTTAAACATTCAACTGCCATCCCTCCTTCCTGCTGACTCTCCCACACTCTGTCCATTCCCTTCAACTCCCAATTGCTGTTGTACTTTTATCCTGTTCCACGCAATTTAGAACTTGCTCATAAGATGTCTTGTATTATTAATGGATATTTTAGACATTCTATATCGCATCCCCCAACTAAAACACAAGCTTGCAGTCAGGAATTGTACAAAAACACTTCTGTATCCCAAGGCAGTTCCAAATATATCATGGCCAGGGTCCAAATCTCCATTAGGGCCAATCACTATTCACCTATGAAGTCTTTCTTGGTTTCAAATACATTTGTGAAACCTTCATCCTCTGTCAGTATCTGGCACATGCCTGTATTATGGTCATTTTAGCCCTTTGTGTTGTCATATTTTTCTGCTTTTTTTTTTTTTTTTTGAGAGGGACACTCACCCTTGCCACCCAGGCTGGACTGCAGTGGCATGATCTCAGCTCACTGCAACCTTTGCTTCCTGAGTTCAAGCAATTCTCCTGACTCTGCCTCCTGAGTGGCTGGGACTAGAGGCGCATGCCACCATGCCCAGCTAACTTTTGTACTTTTAGTAGAGATGGGATTTCACCACAATGGCCAGGCTGGCTTTGAACTCCTGAGCACAGGTGATCCACCTGCCTCGACCTCCCAGAGTTCTGGGATTACACGCCTGGCCTTTTTCTGCTTTGCTTTTGTCTCCCCACTAGAAGCAGAGCCTGGTGAGGTAAAGGATTATGTATCTTATCACTACTATACCCTTCACACAATGCCTAGTGGAGGATGGGGACTCACTATGTATTTGCTAAATGAATAAGTCAATAATTTTGGTCTCCTTTCATTTATACAGACATCAGATATTTTTCCTTTATGAGAAGATTCAGAAAATCTGGATAAACTTTGAAAAAATCATCTGCTTAGATCTTTAAAACATAGGTAAAACCAAGTAAAAATTTTTATTGACATTTTGTTCCGTGCAGAATGTAACATAGTGGCTAAATAGACTAATCAAACATGTTTATGAATTCGATTCTGCATGACCTTGAGGAAGTTTCATAACCTTCCTAAGTCTCAGTGACCTCATAAAAAGTGAGAATTGACAGACTACCTCACAGTATTTTTGTAACAATTAAGTAGTGTAATGCATGTAGAGCTCCTGGCAAATTGACTAGCACAGAATTAGCCTTCAGATCATTTTAATCAATTATTCTTTATTAAGGCAATTTAATAGGAGAAAAGACTAAATGTTATTTCTTGTGCTTCAGGGATGTATTCCAGATGAATAGACATTTAAAAATATACAAAGTATAAACACAGACAAGTAGAATACCTTCGATTACACAGCTACAGAAATCTGACCACCTTGAAATACTGCGTCAGAGTTAGCAAACTTCCTCTGTAAGGCCAAATAGTAAATGTCTCAGGCTTTGTGAACTATGTGATTTCTGCCACAACTACTGAATTCTGTCACCATAGCGTAAAGGTAACCACAGACAACACATAAACAGATGAGCATAGTTATGTCCCAATAAAACATTTACAAAAACAGGTATTGAGCTAGATTTGCTAATTATTCTACTATGTAGATACACTTTCTCTCACAAGATAATTCTACCATAAGTAATAATTCTATATTTGTGTATTTGTGCAATGATGCCAAAACTTAAATGAACAGAAATGTTTAAAAGGTAATTTTTAAAAACATTAATGTATATTTTAATCCAAAGCCGTTTGAATACAGTACATGAAATTCGTAACCTCAATTGTGAATTAGCTATTTACCAATGCAAGGTTTAAGTTGTTTAGTGGCCGTGAGTAAATTAAGTTTGTCGTCACTTTTCACCCTGGTGTAGTATCTTCCAAATAGTAAATGCTCAATTCACATTATACCTTAAAGTAAATACTAAGAAAAACCTCCCATGTTACTAGACACAATTTTGCTCATGTATCTTTCAAATCAACTAGAGACATTATCAATTAATGCAAAGATTCTGGGCTTGTAATCCAAACAAGCTTACCTCGCTGCTCCAGATGCTCATCTTGCTGGCTGTGTGTCTCTAGGCAAGTTCTGTCACAGAGCAGAAATAATAATATTTGTCCTAAAGCAGTGGTTGTCAGCCAGGGAGCAGTTTTGCCCCCAGGGCACATTTGCAATGTATGAAGACATTTTCTATTATTATTATGATTATTATTATTATTTTGAGACAGAGTCTTGCCCTGTTACCCAGGCCAGAGTGCAAATGTGCAATCTTAGCTCACTGCGATCTCTGACTCCTAGGCTCAAGGGATCCTCCCACCTCTGCCTCCCAAGTAGCTGGGACTACAGATGTGTGCCACCATGCCCAGCTAATTCTTGTATTTTTTGTAGAGATGGGCTTTTGTCATTTTGCCAAGGCTGGTCTTCAACTCCTGGCCTCAAGTGATCCTTCTGTCTCAGCCTCCCAAATTGCTAGGATTACAGGTGTGAACCATCGTACTCTGTCTTATTTTCACCATTTGGGATGAGAGATGTTACTGGGTTCTAATGAGTAGAGGCCAGATTGTGCTCAATATCCTACAATACCCAGGACAATCCCTACCCTGAAAGAATTATCCAGCCCAAAATGTCAATAGTTCCAAGTTGGACAAACTCTGCCCCGAGGTTTCTGTGAGGATTAACTCACATAGTGTTCTAAAGGTTTAGCAGAATATTGGGCTCAATAAATCTTAACTGTTAACTGTTAATAAGACTGATTTCTATTGACTGGTAGAAAATCTTTATGCAAATTTCCAGTGAACACAAACATGCCTAAAAATAAATGAACCATCCATTCTTTGGGCTTGATGTCTGTTAAAGCATTAATTTATATTAAATAATAAAATTAATGCTAATCATGTATGTATTGACATCTAGAGTCCATATGCTCTTTGTGAGCCTTGAAAGGTTTTGAATGATACATGCCTATTCTGGCATTGCCATGGTAAATGTTTTATCTTGTTGTTAATATCCGACTTATTTAAAATTCATGTGGGAAATTTGAAAGTTCTATTTCCTATCTTGGAAAATCAATGACAGCTTAATCAATGCTGCTAAAACAAGCCCCAGTTCTTATGTAGTAGAAGAGTAAACAAACTAGAGAATTAAAAGTGACAGAATCTTCACATCAAGGACAGAGAGCATATTTCTATCTCGTTCTTCTATGTTTGCAGCCTGAAAGGTTCCATCTGCTCGCCTCTTCCCTGAGGGAATTGAAGCACCTTGAAACGGATAAGAAAACTTGAAGATTACAACAATGTTTCATATCATTAGGCTCAAATTAAGTAAATAACAGAATACTAAGCTGATGACACTTCCTGGGTTTGCACTAATCACAATTTACTATCTCCGTCCTTGTCATCAAAACCTTTTTCCCTAGCAACATCCCTGCTGCTGCTTCTGTTCCCATCCTCTGGGTGCAGCTGAAACAGGAGGCAGTCAAAAGGAAAAACAGAAATATCTCCAAGATGATACTTACAAAAAGCAACAACGACAAAGTATAAACATACACACATGTCGCAGTTTATGTTCTTAGTCAAATGCAAGTATCAGCAATGGCCTACTATCAGTAAGTTAAAATGGTTGGGGTTGTGCCAGTCTCCCATTACATGAGGATATGCAGACTCATGCTAATATGTATCAGTTGGTAGTAAATGAGTGAGTGAGTCAGGAGTGATGAGTGAAGTCTAAGGGAAATTGGACTGTTCCTGTGCCATCCAAAAGGGTAATGGACATTCAATTCTGCTTATTTTTGGTCACTGCAGATGAGTGCACTGTGGTTAAGTCTTCTAATTTTTTTCCAAGACAGAAATCTGGAAAGGTTGACATAATTCCATCAAGGAATGGGATTGAAATAAATATACAAACAATTTAAAAGTAGAGTATAATGGTACAACCACTCTGGAAAACTGGCAGTTTCTAATAAAGTTAAATGTAAAAAAAAAAATTGTCCCTACCATAGGACAATTCTGTTTCTAGATACTTACCTTAGCTACATGGAAACATGTGTCTATGAAAAAGATTTATATAAAAAATTCACAGCAGCTGTGAATTTTTTTTTTATAGTAGCCCCAAACCGGAAACAACTATCACTTATCTTCCAGCCATTATTCATGTGGCATGCTTCCTCACGCTTTGATTACTCTCCTTTGAATATATTTCCATTCGTCTGCTTTCCATTCATAATGTAAGATTTTCAGTGTTGTTAGAAAATACAAAGCACAGTGAAGCTGGTCCCTGACTTATATTACTTTCCATATTTTCACAGATTTAGTCAAAGAAAATGCTAGGTACTTTGTTAGTTACACGTTTCATTGATTTATATATATATATATTTTTTTTTTTTTTTTTTTTTTTTTTTTT